GGCCAGCATTCTACCACTTGAGCCACAGTGCCACTTCCAGCTTTTTTCTGTGTATGTGGTGCTGAGGAATTGAATCCCGGGCTTCATGCATGTGAGGCAAGCATGTTACCACTAAGCCACATTTCCAGTTCCTCTCTGGATTTTTAAAAATTCCTATCATCTATTTTTAGCTTAAACTTTCCCATTTCCTTAGCACTCAACCTACAGACATACTCTGGCAAGCTGGTGTCTGAGGGTGCTAAGGACACAAAAGACAATCAAATGGAAGAAGTCAGGTGAGGGTGCAACTGGGCACTTCACAGTGAGTATATCTTAGTACTGTCACTTTTTTTTGTCAGTGTGGGGCTTGAACTCAGGGTCTGGGCACTCTTCCTGAGCCTCTTTGTGCTCAAGTTTAGTGCTCTACCACTTGAACCACAGCACCATTTCTGGCTTTTGAGTGGTTAACTGAAGATAAGAGTCACATGGGGACTTTTCTGCTCCTGCTGGCTTTGAACCATGATCCTCAGATCTCAACCTCCTGAGTAGCTAGGATTACAGGTGAGAGCCACTGGTGCCAGGTGTACTGCAACTAGTTTTTATAACTATTCAATTACCCTGAAGGTTTGTAAGGATGTTCTTAAAATCATAAAAAAAAAAAAACCAAAACCTGCACAGTCTGTGGCTGAGTGGCTCACATATGGTGCCACCAGACTGAGGAGGAAGACTATGAAGCCCAAGGATGGGATTGAAGGTGTCAGTACTATTCATGTTGGGACCAGACTTTTCTAAGAGGATGGCTTTCTGCAATAGGTCCCATTCAGACTTCTTCCTGACTCCAAGATATGCTTGAAAACCCACCTACCAGGCTGTGAATGTGGCTTTGTGGTAGAGTGTTTGCCTAGCATGCATGAAGCCTTGCGTTCAATTCCTCAGTGTCACATACACAGAAAAAGCTAGAAGTGGTGCTGTGGCTCAAGTGGTAGAGTGCTAGCCTTGAGCAAAAAGAAGTTCAGTGACAGTTCTCAGGCCCTGAGTTCAAGCTCCAGGAATAGCAGAAAAACAAAAACAAACAAAAAAACCACCCAGGTGGTGCTGTAGCTCATAGTGGTAGAGTGCTAGCCTTGAGCTCAGGGTCAGTGCCTGGGCCCTGAGTTCAAGCCCCATGACCAAAACCAAAAAATGCTAAATGTTTGAAAAAAAAAACAACCACCCATTCTCCTGGAAGAGATGGTGTGCTTCAAGTCAAGAATGAAAATGAACTGGGCACTGGTGGCTCACGCCTGCAATCCTAGCTACTCAGGAGGCTGAGATCTGAGGATTAAGGTTCAAAGCCAGCTGGGGCAGCAAAGTCCTGAGACTTTTTTTTTTGGGTCCGGTCGTGGGGCCTGAACTCTGGGCCTGGGCGCTGTCCCTCAGCTCTTCAGCTCAAGGCTAGCGCTCTACCACTTGAGCCACAGCACCATTTCCAGCTTTTTCTGCTTATGTGGTGCTGAGGAATCAAACCCAGGGCTTCATGCATACAAGGCAAGCGCTCTACCACTGAGCCACCTTCCCAGCCCCAGTCCTGAGACTCTTATCTCCAATAAACCACTTGGAAAACGGAAGTGGCGCTGTGGCTCACATGGTAGAGCACTAGCTGAAGAGCTAAGGGACAGTGCCCAGGCCTGGAGTTCAAGCCCCATGACCCACCCCCCATGCCACCCCCAAAAAGTGTTGAAAATTATCTATGCAATTTATGGGTAGGGATAGGAGGAAAAACTTGAGAGCAATGAAAAGAAATGTACTCTTGCCAGGTGCCAGTGGCTCACATCTGTAATCCTAGAGATTTAGGAAGCTGAGATCTGAGGATCATGGTTCAAAGCCAGTGGGGCAGGAAAGTCTGTGAGACTTTTTATTATCTCCAATTAACTACCAGAAAACTGGAAGTGACGTTGTGACTCAAAGTGGTAGAGTACTAGCTTTGAATGCAAAAACTGAGGGACAGTGCTCAGGCCCCTGAGTTCAAGCTCTACAACTGACAAGAAAAAAAATTTAAAAAGAAAGGTACTTTTTAACTATTTATGTAACTATACCCCCTCGGTACATCACCTTCCTACCTTCCTTCCTTCCTTTCTTTCTTTTCTTTCTTTCTTTTTCTTTCTTTCTTTTTGTCAATTGTGGGGCTTGAACTCTGGGCTTGGGCACCGTCCCTCAGCTCTTTAACTCAAGGTTAGCGCTCTACCACTTGAGCCACAGCGCCAGTTCTGTTTTCTGGTGGCTAATTGGAGATAAGAATCTCACGAATTTTCTGCACAGGCTGGCTTTGAACCAGGATCCTCAGATCTCAGCCTCCTGAGTAGATTATAAGCATGAGCCACCACGCCCGGCTTGTACATCACCTTTATAATAACAATAAAAATTGAAAGAAAAAAAAACCCTAAAGAATACCTATTTGTTGCTTAAAAGACTTTTGCAAATATTTGGCCTAGACCAAATATTATCAATAATGCTATATTCTATCAATACATTCAGCCACAAATGGAGAAAATAGAAAAATACAATACACTTGGTAGGAGAAAACCTCAAAGGCTCAGAACATGTCTTTGTTTTCGCAGTTAAAGGTGCCCATCAACCATCTATTTCAGTTACTGTACAGTATAATTATACAAAAACTTTTCTTGAAATTCTGAGATCACATGCTTAAGTAGAGTTGCCAAAAGAACAGTTTTCTCTGAACTTTAACTGTTTAAAAAGTATTCCATATTAGCTGGATGCAGGTGGCTCACACCTGTAATCTTAGCTATCAAGAGGCTAGGATAGGAGGATCAAGGTTCAAAGCAGCCAGGCAGGAAAGCCCATCAGACATTTATCTCCAAATAACCACCGAAAAGCCAGAAGTGGAGTGGTAGCTCAAGTGGTAGAGAACTAGCCTTGAGCAAAGAAAGTTAAGGTACAGCCCTGAGTTTAAGCCTCGGCACTGGTACACACATACACAAAAAAATAAAGATGGTAAAGGGAAGGGGAAAAAAAAAAGAGGAATATAGGATATGTGTGTACACAGAAGGCCACGGTCAGAAAAAATAAGACACTAAATGCTTAGAACAAAGAAGACGCATCCATGGCCTCCTGTAGCAGCGGTCACCAAGGAGTACCACTAGGAGACCATTTAGACAGATCAGCGAAAATGGAAGTGGTAGGCTCAGCCCCCAGCAGAAACCCAGCAAAGACACACATGGAAAAAGGTCTTTGAAAACAAGTTAATAACCACATAATGTTGTATAAAATAGAGGTCTTATTTCTAAAAGTTAAAATGAGATCATGTATACGTCACAGTATGCTGGGCAAATTTAATCGTTTAGTAAATAAAACTATTATCTTCCTAGGATAATTCTAAAGTTTCTCACTCTCAGTTTCTCCACCTGTAAAAGGGGTAGAAGGATCAAATGACAATGTTCTGTTCAAACATGTAAGAGTTCATATTTAAAACAGATGTCCCAAGATAGGTTAGGGAAGAAAGAGGTTAGTTGCCAAGTAGTAATCAGTGCTGATCATGGAAGGCATTTTAAGATAAACTACAATCTTTCTGGCCCCACCTCAGTGTCCTACTTTGGCTCTGCTGAGCGTGTGGGAGTAATCTTACTGCTTTTTTTTTTTAATCATAAATTTAACAGCACTATTAAGGTGGCATGTGAGTAAAAACACCTTGGACTCTCCCTGGGGGGAGAGGGGACATCCCATTCTGTACTTTCCCAGTGGAATTTTTTAACCTGAGTAATAATACTTTCATGCCATTAAAACAGATCATATTAATTTCAGTTCCAGGTTCTAATGAAAAAAAAAAGTTTGAGTCTGATTCTGCAGGAAACTTATTAGTATACTGGTAATCACTTGGTTCTGGGATTCCTGGTGTCTTTTACTTTCTTTTCTTTTGCTTGAAAATATAAATTACTTGTGTGGAGAGCCAAAACCAAGAATCTAAAAACTAAATAAGCCTGGCTAATCTATTTGGCAATTTTAATAACCATATTCTTCTATGACTCTTTGATAAAGAATGGGGGGAGGGAAGGTGTCTTCTACTGAATTTTTCCATTCAAGAGGTCATAGTAAGTTCTATGTCTAGCAGAAGAGGTTCCACACAGAATGAAAACAAAATATTCAGAAACAACATTTAGTGGCTCACACCTGTAAATCCTAGGACCTCAGATCTCAGGCGGCTGAGATCTCAGGATACTGGTTCAAAGCCACCTGGGCAGAACGATTCCATGAGATTCACATCTCCAATTAACCAGCAAAAAGGTGGAAGTGAAGGTGTGGGCTCAAGTAGCAGAGCGCCTGCCTTGAGTGAAAAAGCCAAGCAAGACTGTAAGGTCCTGATTTCAAGCCCCATTATTGGAACATAACAAAATACATTAAGATTCAGTTCTGTGCTGGTGGGATGAATAGCAGGAGGCAATGTGACACAGTGGTTTAAAGGTTTCCACGTGGTTCCCCGCTCAGCCGGGAGCGAAGGACTTATTTCCTCAGGGCCTCAGCTGCCTTACCTGTGAAATGGGAGAATGGACGCCTACCTCCTCCACTAAATGCCACAAAAGGTCTCAAAAATCCTACTACTGTTAACTACTTCGCCCGAGATCTGAGTGAGAAGGGCCTCGGGGGATAAAAAACTAAAGCAAAACGAAACACCGAGGGAACCTACGACAAGTCCACAGTGCCCGGGCCTCGGTGCAGGCCCCGCGCGCCAGGGCCGCTCTCGGGGCTCAGCGCGCGGCGGGTGAGGCTCCGGATGGGCCCGCTCGGCCACCGTGGGGACGGACACCGACCGGGGCCTCTCCACTGGGCGTCCTTCGCCTGGCTCAACCAAAGTCCGCGCGGAGCGAGCGGGCGGCCAGCACCAGGGTGCCCCGCCCGGACCCCGCGGTGCGCGGGAGGAACACCTCACCGCGCCCCCGTAGCCACGGCCACGCCCCCTCACGCCACTTCCGGCGGATGCTGTTGTTTAACCCCGGAAATGGGCGGGAGAGGAAGCAGCTGGTGATGCTGGAACAAACATGGCCGCCCCGGTGCCTCTCGGCCCTTCGGGCTCTCACCGTCCTCGGCTGGCCGCTGGCTTCCGGCTGCTGCCGATGCTGGGGCTTCTGCAGTTGCTGGCTGAGCCCGGTCTGGGCCGCGTCCATCACCTGGCACTCAAGGTAAGGCCAGACAGGACCGGGACCGGCGGTCCAGGCCGGGCCGGGCCGTGGTCCGGGGG